AACGATTGCTCTAAAATTCTTCTCAGCTTTCTCCCTTTTCTATCTGGGTCGCCGTTATGGATGAGCCGCCTCCACTGATTTGTCTATTACAGCTCATAACATATTGTTTTGACATGGGTTTTTACAGTCGGATGCTCTTCCTGACACCAACCCTCTCTATTTATCTAGACTTGGGACCGGTACCAACAAAGGCTCCCCCCCCCCAAGGTGGCTTTACAATGGGCAATCAAGGTAAAGTTCTTTGCCTAAGGGAACAAACACACCACTCGGTGGACTCGAACCTGGATTTGTCTCTAAATATTATTTTTTAAATCAGATCGCTTTCTTTTTCAATTAACGGAGAAAAAAAGTATCATATAAATGGAGGCTGTAAAGCCAGCATGGCGTGAGCTTCTCCTGCAAACGGATCACATTAATGTCTAATGAACACCTTTCTTTCGGAGACCAAGAGGGTGGTCTTCCCGTGAGGCCTAAAGATTCCCCGCGGTGGTGCTCCAGATTTATGGCAAATTATCAGCAATGTGCTCAGTAAACACATTATTGTGCCTGTTCAGAAAAATAAAAAAAATAAAAGGTTCATGATTGTGCAAATAGAATTTGAAAATAACTTTGCCTTTGAAAACGAAGCGTCTTATTAGATTAAATGCGTGATAACATGGTTTCTCAAAAAAAAAAAAAAAAAAAAAACAGTTGTAGAAAGCACAGAAATACAAAAATACATATATATATATATATATATATATATATATATATATATAATATATATACATCTATAAACATTTTCACAAATCTAGTACCGCTGTAACACTGGATATTATCCATGAATTTATAATGCAGCAGTAATTTAACTGCAGATATTAAATGCTTTACGCTTATTACAAGTCAAATTGTGTAGATAGTTAAACATAAATTATTTTTTGAATCCAGAGTAATTTTCTGATTTGTAAGATGATCTTAAAAAAACGTTTTTTATGTGACAATAATAAAATATTATATGAGTTGTATTCGTTTCCGTGTCTTTAAATAATGTGTTCCAAATAAGTATTTTATTAAAAATAGACACTTACCTCTTACTTTAACTAAAGAATAGTGTACGTAGGCCAACAACCTCACTAAAATAAAATGCCTCCTATGGTGGATGCACAATAATGAAAACAAATCAGTAAATGTTTTCGAAAAACAAGGACGGCAATAAGCGCATTCATCTACTATACCTACCGTATATGTATATATGTATATAAATATATGTATGTATGTATATGTGAGTGTATATAAATGTGTATATGTATATATATTTATATTTATGTATATGTGTATCATTCATATTTACATATTTTTATGCATACTTGTACGCATACATATACAAGCACATACAAATGGAAATGGGAATATAATTATTACCTTGATGCTAGGCTGTGGTTGAAGGTAATTGCCTGTATGTTCTTCAGGAGATTTTGGCTTCCCACTTTTAGTTGAATATCGTTATTTCTCTGTAGTTTCGATTCTTTGTACGAATGTTTATTACAAATGCAGATTTTTTTCATGGTATGTAAATTGTAACATTATTACTTCGATATTTTTTGAAGTAAACGCACACCTTAATTATTAATATGCATACTTATATTTTGAATATTATATATTATATATATATAATATATATATATATATATATATAATATATATATATATATATATATATATATATATATATAAGTATGCATCTGTAAGGCCTTTACGTTATGAAGCAAAAAATCAAGTCTGTGGCTAGAAAATTGTGCGCAATGAGATTTTTATTATTATTATCATTATTATTATCGTTATTTTCATACTGCACTTTTTTTTTTTTCAGTCTTTTGTTTGTTTTTTTGTTCGCACTCTCTACCCTTCCTTGATAATCACAGTAAAATAAAAGCCAAATACTGTACGGCGAGCGGTCATTCTCGAGGACAATTCCTCATAGAAAAGACAGAGTTAAGTGTTTATGTATGTATAACAAAAAGCTTTTGGTTATATGATATGGCTCTAAGTTATGAATAAGTAACTGTCATCAGAAATATCAAGGTAAATGACAGTGTACAACTCCGCCCACAAAACTCTCCATGCTCATCAGTTGGGAGGAGTTTTACCTGCTCCAGCTATTTAAGCACATGGAACCACTTTCCTTGCATCAGATATTCTATCATCGCACACCATGGAATATAAGGTACGATGCGAGAACGCGATTTTGTGTTGTTGAGATTGTCACTGTAAATGTGTGAAAGCTTACCCATAGATCATATCTACAGATGTCAACTCCATTGTATATGATGCCGTACTTGGAAGTTAATTTGTTTCTTTAATATCGTCTAAATAATTGTCGATATTGCAGGTAATTGCGCTCGCTGCCCTTGTGGCCGTTACCCTCGCCCGCCCTGAGAGCACACCATCCTATGGCTATGGTGCCCCAACGCCCTCTTCAGGACCTGCCAAGTACGACTTCAACTACGCCGTCAACGACCCACCATCTGGCAACGACTTCGGTCATCAGGAGGCCCGCGATGGCCCTAACACTCAGGGTTCCTACTACGTCCTCCTTCCCGACGGTCGTCTGCAGAAGGTGGCCTACACTGTCAACGGAGACTCTGGTTACGTGGCCGATGTCACCTACGAGGGTGATGCCTCCACACCACGCCCCTATACACCCGCCCCTCATTATGCTTAGATAGAATTTATCTTCGTGAATAATCATACAGTGTATATAGGGTAATAAATTAGCATCTAGACACGTTTGTTTCATATCATAATGTGAATTACATGGTGTGAAGGCATTATTGTCTTGGTTTCCATGTAATTGAGGGTATGAGCGTATGTTTCTTACTTGAAACGATTGCTCTAAATTCTTCTCAGCTTTCTCCCTTTTCTATATGGGGTCGCCGTTATGGATGAGCCGCCTCCACTGATTTGTCTATTACAGCTCATAACTTATTGGTTTTGACATGGGCTTTTACAGTCGGATGCCCTTCCTGACACCAACCCTCTCTATTTATGTAAGCTTGGGACCGGTACCACAAAGCCCCCCCCCCCATGGCTTTTACAATGGGCAATCAAGGTAAAGTTCTTTGCCGAAGGGAACAACACACCACTCGGTGGATTCGAACCTGGATTTGTCTCTAAATAATAATTCTTAAATCAGATCGCATTCTTTTTTCAATTAACGGGAGAATACCAAAGTATCATATCATGGAGGCTGTAAAGCCGGCATGGCGTGAGATTCTCCTGCAAACGGATCACATTAATGTTTAATGAACACCTTTCTTTCGGAGACCAAGAGGGTGGTCTTCCCGTGAGGCCTAAAGATTCCCCGCGGTGGTGCTCCAGATTTATGGCAAATTATCAGCAATGTTGCTCAGTAAACACATTATTGTGCCTGTTCAGAAAAAAATAAATAAATAGAAACAAAAGGTTCTCGATTGTGCAAAAAGAATTTGAAAACGGAAGCGTGTCTTATTAGATCTAAATGCGTGATAACATGGTTTCTCAAAAAAAAAAAAAAATGTTGATTGTAGAAAACATAAAAATACAATTAACATATATATAAATCCATCTATATCTTGTTGAACATTTTCACAAATTTAGTTCCGCTGTAAGACTGGATATTATTCAAAATGCAGCAATATTTTAACCGTAGATATTATTGATGCTACTAAGCTTATTACAAGTCAAATTGCAATTTCCTAATGTAGGTAAGAGAAGTGTGTAGATAGTTAAACTTATATTCTTTTCGAATCCCAGAGGAATTTTCTGATCTGTAAGTGATCTTTTAAAAAATGTCTTTTATGTGACAATTAATAAATATTATTTTGTATTCGTTTCGTGTCTTTAATAATGTGTTCCAAATAAAGTATTTTATTAATAAAAGTTAGGCACTTACCTCTTACTTTAACTAAAGAATAGTGTACGTAGGCCAACAACCTCACTAAAATATAATCCCTCCTATGGTGGATGCACAATAATGAAAACAAATCAGTAAATGTTTTCGAAAAACAAGGACGGCAATAAGCGCATTCATCTATAATACCTACCGTATATGTATATATAAAATATATGTATGTATATGTGAGTGTATATAAATGTGTATAATATATATATTACATTTATATATGTGTATCATTCATATTTACATATTTTTATGCATACATGTACGCATACATATACAAGCACATACAAATGGAAATAGGAATATGATTATTAACTACATTGATGCTAGGCTGTGGTTGAAGGTAATTGCCTGTATGTTCTTCAGGAGATTTTGGCTTCCCACTTTTAGTTGAATATCGTTATTTCTCTGTAGTTTCGATTCTTTGTACGAATATTTATTACGAATGCAGATTTTTTTTTCATGGTATGTAAATTGTAACATTTATTACTTCGATATGAAGTAAACACACCTTAATTATTAAGTATGCATACTATATATATATATATATATATATATATATATATATATATATATAATATATATATATATATATATATATATATATATATAGTATGCATCTGTAAGGGCTTTTACGTTATGAAGCAAAAAATCAAGTCTGTGGCTATAAAATTGTGCGCAATGGGATTTTTATTATTATTTATATTATTATCGTTATTTTCATACTAAACTTTTTTTTTTCTGTTTTTTTTTCTTTGTTTTTTGTTCGCACTCTCTACCCTTCCCTTAACTTAATCACAGTAAATAAAAGCCAAATACTGTACGGCGAGCGGTCATTCTCGAGAACAATTCCTCATAGAAAAGACAGAGGTTTAAGTGTTTATGTATATGTAACAAAAAGCTTTTGGGTTATATGATATGGCTCTAAGTTATGAATAAGTAACTGTCATCAGAAATATCAAGGTAAATGACAGTGTACAACTCCGCCCACAAAACTCTCCATGCTCATCAGTTGGGAGGAGTTTTACCTGCTCCAGCTATTTAAACACATGGAACCACTTTCCTTGCATCAGATATTCTATCATCGCACACCATGGAATATAAGGTACGATGCGAGAACGCGATTTTGTGTTGTTGAGATTGTCACTGTAAATGTGTGAAAGCTTACCCATAGATCATATCTACAGATATCAACTCCATTGTATATGATGCCGTACTTGTAAGTTAATTTGTTTCTTTAAAATTGTCTAAATAATTGTCGATATTGCAGGTAATTGCGCTCGCTGCCCTTGTGGCCGTTACCCTCGCCCGCCCTGAGAGCACACCATCCTATGGTTATGGTGCCCCAACGCCCTCTTCAGGACCTGCCAAGTACGACTTCAACTACGCCGTCAACGACCCACCATCTGGCAACGACTTCGGTCATCAGGAGGCCCGAGATGGCCCTAACACTCAGGGTTCCTACTACGTCCTCCTTCCCGACGGTCGTCTTCAGAAGGTCACCTACACTGTCAACGGCGATTCTGGTTACGTGGCCGATGTCACCTACGAGGGTGAGGCCTCCACACCACGCCCCTATACACCCGCCCCTCACTATGCTTAGATATCGTTAGGTTTGATGGATTATTTTCATTACCAATATGTATATAGTATAATAAACTAGCATA